GCCACATACACCTAAGGTGGTGGGTTCAAATCCAGCCCGGGGCCGCTAAACAATGACAGCTACAACCAAAAAATAGCCAGGTGTTGTGGCAGGCACCTGTGGTCCCAGCTACTTAGGAGGCTGAGGCAGGAGACTTGCTTGAGCCCAGGAGTTGGAGGTTGCTGTGAGCTGTGATGCCAAAGCACTCTACCCAGGGGGACAGCTTGAGGCTCTGTCTCAAAAAAAAAAAAAATGTAAGTGGAAGTTGTATATATTACTTCTGGTAACATTCTGTTGTCACATGGCTGTACCCTGCTATAAAAAGATACTGGATGGCCCTGTCCCTAGCTGGAACTCAATGGTGTGGAAATGTCTACTACTGCCCAAAACAGGCAAAATGGAAACCAGGGCACAGCTGGCAATTTCCGCTACAGATTAAGCAAAATTCATACAAAACTGATAGGTAACAAATAGAACAAATTGCACACAGATGGGATGGAGCAAAGTTTCAAAGTAGGTAGGAGGAATTACTGCTTGAGAGTGACGGATAAAGCTTAAGATTTTCCTTCTGTCAACAAACAGAAGACGGAGGGCGCGTACCCGGATTAACGATGTGATCCCTGGGCTGTGTGCTCCGGTCTGCCACTCACCTAATTTTAACTTTGAATCAACCATAATTTCTTCCCGTAGCACAATCTGCAGAAAACATTTCTGTGAATTTGCTCTTGTAGAGCTTCCTCTTCAACATCTGATAAGACAAGACTTGTTTGGACGGAGTAGGGGTGTGAAGATTCCCAAACCCCAGAAACTGTGTGCTCACTTGCTTGCTCTCTCTCTCTCTCTTTTTCACACACCGTGGCGAGGTGGGCTTTGCATTTGTGAATTGATACCCAGGAAACACATACCCAGCCCTCTCTCTGCCCGATCCCCACTTCCAACGTGACACCAAAGCTGTAGCCCTCCTAAGGCAGTTACTGTACGTGCTGACAAGACATGATCTATAACTTTCTCCCAGGGTTGGTTACGGAGAAATTCTGGGCTCTGTTTTCATTCTCTGTCTCTTGGGAACCGTGTGACCACTTCCCCTTTGCTGATCAGCAATTAGAGGCTCCTGACAGTGTGGTCAGCCAAGGTGGGCGCCTTACAGGGAAGGAGAATCCCCCATATTTGGCGGTAAAATTTCCTTTCATCTTCCCGTGGCTTCTGATCCTCCTTTTTTTCTTGTTCTTGAAGATTCTTATTCAAACAGAGATTGAATAGTGAAAAGTGGGATTTTTGTAGAGCCTTAAAAAGAACACAAAGAAAACAAGTTGTTAAATTCAAGCAACATACAATGGCCTCATCCTGTGCTGGACACTGTTCTAGGTAGAGGGAGATACACAAACAAGACATAGTCCCTGCCCTAAGCTGCTCACAACTTTCTCTGTGACAGTTCAGAGAGGACCTACCCTGGGATATAGAAAAATTAAACAGTAACATTTTTTTTTTCAAAGGGTTTCAAGGAGCTGTTGATTTCCAGAGAAACTAGACAAGGATTCATCGGCTACTCCACAAATGGAGTTAAAACTTTAACTATGTTTATGAACTTGTAAATGTTTTTCTGAATTACAAGGACAGTAAAGAAGTAATTTCTTACCCTATTTCCTTTCTGTTCTCCTTGCTTGTGAAACATCAATAAAGAATGAGGATCGCACAGGAAATTATGTAAGATGCTGTCATCTGCAGTGATATATTATATAAACTCAATTCTTTTTCTATTATCCAGAGCAGTGTTTTTCAACCTTTGTATTTTTTTTTATTTCACCACACACTCGAACCTATAGTTAAACTTCTGTGGTACACATAAATTATGTTGATTTAAAAAATAGAGTAAAAACAGGCATATACTTACTGTGCTTTGAACTTCTTTTGAAAATAAGTGATCTTTAAAAATTTTCCAGGCACACCTAAGATCCTCTCACGGCACACTGTGAAAATCACTGTTGGAGGATAACAGGACAGAAGTTTCCACAACATTAAAATCCTGCCCTCAAGCTTTTTATCATCATCACCGTAAGTCAGGCAGTCTAGACCCTGGGTCTGAATCCTAACCTTATATTTGAAAGCACATATAGTGAGAGTAAGATGCAGTCTGTCAGGCTGAGTAGACATGACTCAGCTGGTCTGGTCAGCTTGGGTCCTGCCTGACCTTCACCCCTGCCCCCCCATTCCCCTCTCCTCCAGTTTCCCATTCTCACTGTTTTGTATTTGTAAATTTTGCTCCGACCCTAAAGATGTCTATCTTGAGTAGTTTAGGTAGATTGATTTAGGAGATTAACTATCTATCTTGAGTAGTTTAGGTAGATTGATTTAGGAGATTAACTATCTATCTTGAGTAGTTTAGGTAGATTGATTTAGGAGATTAACTTTCAAATTGGAATGTTTTGGGTCATGAGTTATACTGATTACTCTTTATTATGGGTCATGGGTTTTGGTGATTATTGTTTAAGATAATGGTTAACAAGGTCTTCACTTTGAACTTAGATGTATAAAACTGTGATTTTGGAGATGGAAGAACAGAACGGTCTTGGAGAGGCTATTCTCACTGCTCCCCAGAATCCCCGCCTTCTGACAAGTCAAGTTTGTGGACTTATCCCTGTCTCTGCAAAGTGGCTGACAGTGACAGGTGACTGGACCCTTTTTGTCCTGTAACATCTTTACTAGTCATGTGACAGGGGAGAAGTTACATAAACAGTCTGTGCCTTAGTTTTCTCATTTATAAAACTGAGACAATCATCATCCTGTTTCATTGTGAGAAAAATAAATTAATTCTTGTGAAGTATTTGGAACAATGCCTGGCATGTATTAAATACTTAGAAGTTTTTATTCAATAAATCAATGAATATAAAAATTCAAATCCCCTTAACATAAATTATTGACTTTAACCTAGTATTGATTTCTTACTATTTGTTTTGTATACATTTTGTGTATACATGTTTGCATTTAAAACTTCATCTCTTGACCAAGTTTGTGAAACTTAATTTTTGTATATAAGTGTCCTGTGACTTTAAAAGTTTCTTTTGTTTCTTTCTATGGAGACAGGGTCTCCCTCTGACATCTGGGCTACAGTGCAGTGGCTCCATCATAGCTCACAGCAACCTCACACTTCTGGGCTCAGGTGATCCTCTGGACTTAGCCTCCGGAATAGGGGGGACTACAGGCTTGAACCACCACACCCACCTAATTTTTTAAGTGTTCTGTAGAGATGGTATCTTACTATGTTGCCCAGGGTGGTCTGGAATTCCTGTTACTGGACAAAGAGGGTCTGGCCACCTGTCACTGTCAGCTTATATGCAGAGACAGGTATAGGACTGCCAAACTTTGTCAGAAGGCAGGGATTCTGGAGAACAGTGAGAGTAGCTTCTCATAGACAGTTCTGTTCTATCATTTCCAAAAATTCAAAGCAAAGACTGCACCAACCCCTCTTCCAAATAATAATCACCATAACTCAGTGACCTATTACAACATTCCAATTCAAAAGTTAATCTCCTAAATCCATCCATCTAAATTACTCAAGATAGGCATCTTTGGGGTGGGAGCTAAACTTACAGAGCAGTAAGGATGGGAGCCAGGAGGTAAAGGTCCCTTAGGACCTAAACCGACCAGACCAGCTGTGTCACGTTGGCCCTGACCCGAATGACTCCATCTTGTTCTCACTAGATGTGCTTTCTCCCCTGGGCTCAAGTGGTCCTCTGACCTCAGCCTCCTAAAGTGTTGGTATTACAAGTGTGAGCCACTGTGCCCAGCCTACTTTAAAGTTCTGAAAAGCCTCTGCACTAGGTGATATATCTAAAAATATCTCGTAGGTCAATAATTTGATCACTCTCTGAGTACAACAAAATTCTATGGGATCTTAATAGAAATCAGGGTTTTAAATAGGGTCAAAGCATTTTGTTTGTAAATCTTAATCATGACTGTGAAGCAGGCTGTTCTGCTCCTCCACAATTTCTCCCTCTCTTTCTGACTGAATGATTAATGCAACTAACATTTCCACATGAAAAATGCTACATAAACTTCATCAGAGCATTTATGAATGTCCGAAAGATCTTGCATTCCAAAAGGGGAGGAAAAAACTCTATCCCTGCAGGGCTTGGGAGGCAGAGACAAGGATTCCAAAGACACCAAAGAAAGCCTGTGGTACTTCAAAAGTGAGAGAAGTTATTTGCAAATGAAGAGAATCATTGAAAAGTGCTATTTAAGTAGGGTTTTAGGGGGGAATTTATCCGGGAGGACGTGGCAAGAAGGGTCATGTTGAGGTGGGTTATGGACTAGTTGAGTTGGAGATTCCTATGGGGCAGCCAAGTGGAGGGGCCATGAGGGAGCTGGCTGTTCCCAGAGAAGTCAGGGTAGGGCTAAGTTGTAGGTGTCACCTGCCTTGAGGTAGCAGGAGAGTCATGAGGGTGGATGAGAAGAGAGGGGCTCCTGAAGCCTTCCCTCCATCTTGCTGAGCCCCCTTCCTTCGTGGCAGCCATCCTCTCTCACTATTCACAGATTCGTGTGGTGCAGGTGTCATAGATATCTTGACTTACTTTCATGAAGGTGTTAATGATGCAATACTTTATCTTTGCACGTCTAAAGCGAATGCTAGAGGAAGACAGTGCTTAACTCAGAGTTTAGCAAATGCAAAGTAATGCTAGAATTTTAGGCCATGTGTAGTCTTTGGTTGAGGGGAGAGGTTTTGGGTGCTGGCCTGGGATACGTACCTTCCTGTGTAGTGCAGAATACAGCTCATAAGGAACCAACTACAGTGTCCCTCTGCTGTAGGAAAACAAGGCCTGATAGAGAAAAAGAATACCTGTGATTAAAAGAGAAAAGGCTTTATTTTAGCTGGGGAGCCACGACAGACTAGAGTCCAAAAATGGCTGAGCCCCCGACTGGCTCTGTCTTTTCCCTTTTATAGAGCTCCTTGTCCACAGGTACCCTTCTCATTGGTCAGTTTGAACTTTGAACTGGAGAAAGGTGGGCTTGGACTTTTTTTTTTTTTTAATATGGAATGCTTCATGAATTTGTGTGTCATCCTTGTGCAGGGGCCATGCTAATCTTCTCTGTATCATTCCAATTTTAGGGAGCACTGGGCTTGGACTTAGTGTTAGTTTTAAGGTCCCAGGAAGTTAAGTTTCTACAAATTCCTAAGAGTTGAGTCACGACAGTGAGGGCTTTGCAGGAACGTCCCTGGGCTCCTGTGAGAAGGCTTCTGTTCTTCAGACCTCACTTTTCCCGGGTATCCTTTCTCACCTCAGTATCCATGGGGCATTGGTTCTAGGATCTCTGTGTATACCCAGATCCACCGATGCTGAAGTTCTTTGTATAAAATAATGGAGTGTTTGCATGTATTGTCCTACGTACTTCAAATCATCTCCAGATAACTTAGAATACCTCATGCTGTTATGCCCAGGAATTCCACAAAGACCATACTGCCAAGCAAGTCAAATTTACAGCAGAGTCCTTTTATTGAAGAGCCAGCTGGGGACTGCCTCAGTGTCCCAACATTGGGTTTCTGAGAACAGCCCCGAGTGCTTAAGGGGTTGGGTTTTTAAGGCTTGGTCTTCATCCTGGTTGGCACGCAGGCTGTCCAGGCGCAACCAGGTAAAAGCAGGCATTGTACAGAAGCAGAATTTTGCGGTTAGTCATATGTCATACATCTTTGTTTTAATATTTTCCCCCATACAACTTAGTTTCAGTATTTTCCCCACACAATCCTAGTTTCAGTATTTTTCCCATCTGATATTGTTTAAAAGTCAGTCCTGGAACAGTTGGTACCTTCCAGTCTGTTTCCCAGGGAGTTAGCCAAGCAAAAACTAGAAGCAAGAAATCAGTTTGTACTCTCTCATTTATCTTGGGAGTGAACTAGACTTATTTTATCTCATTTGAAAACTTGCAGTCTAGAAGTTTGCCAGGCGTTAACTGGTATTTTTCCATTCTGGCCTAGGCCTGACACCTTTCTGTCTCAGCCTAGGCCCACTGGACCTAACAATACAATGTAAATGCTGTGTAAATAGTTGTTATACTGTGTTGTCTAGGAAATAATGACAAGAAAAGGAATTCTACGTGTTTAGTCAGACACAACCATCCACTTTCCCCCCAAATATTTCCAGTCTATGGTTGGTTGAATCCACTCGTGTGGCACCCCTGGTCACCGAGGGCTGACTGTATTTTGCTGTATATGTGAGTGACGCTGCTGGTTGGGAACGTTGACTCCTTCCCTGGGTGGGAAGACAGCCTCTGTCTTCTATGCAATTTCCACGCAGAAGCTTTTTCCTGCTGCCTTCAGGGTTACCTTTGCCTGTTGTGAAGCCCCATGGTCTGGTCTTTATGAAAGCTGTAGCTACATAGCACTGCCCTGCTTAGCTGTGAGTCTGACAGGGAGGAACATTTTATACCAGGTCCCTCAGGGGCCCTGTACTTGGGTGTCCCCTTGGCATCTCCAACTCAATCAGTCCCTAACTGACCTCCACATGTCCCTTTCTGCCACATCCTACCACATCCCTGTGTAGATAAATCCTCCCTTAAAGCCTTCTGCTAAATAAAGACCTGTCGATGAAGCTCTTCATTTATCTTCTGATACAGACATATCTACAAGTACAGAGTTGGGGACCCCAAATTGTAAATGCTCCCCTCACTTGGCTTCTCTGCATTTCCCCCATGCTGCTCCTGCTTCTCCTCTCCTTCTCTTTCTGTTTCTCCTGGATTCACTTACTCATTCTTTCATTCATTCCCCAGTTATTTGCAACTAAAATGTACAAAGAACTAACTGGGGCTGTCAAGAGCAGCAGTTATTTAAGGGATGGTTTCTGCCTAAGGACGTGATGACTTATCAGGCCTGGTGGTCATTAGTACATCACCAAATGGTTCTGGTTTTTTCCTTTTCTACACATATAATAGGATGATTCAGGATCCAAGTTCTCCACATTTTACTATTGAGGAAACAAGTGTTCAGCAAATTTAAGTGACTTGTCTACCGTCCCACTGCCTGGGCTCATCTGATGCTAAAGATGCCATTTCTTTTTCACCACACTGTGTTTAAGGTGGTTGGGTACTTTGATGGGTAGAGTTTGGGGAAGGGTCGCTCCAGGGGAAGAGGTGGGACAGAGAAAGTGTCAGATGTATTTTGGAATCAGTTCATTAGGCAAATTCACTGGATGACAGGAAAGGCTGGGTGCCAGGAGGTGGCGGGAGGTGAGAGGCTGCAGGGTAGAAAGCCTTGAATACCAGGATGAAGAATTTGAAATTTCTTATGTTTCTACCTATATTTAACAAATAGGTCATAGCACATCCCAGTTTGAATTTGTCGACTCTCTGAAGGGTTTTTCTCTCTTTCTGTTAGAGGGAGAAAGTTACGGTGGTCTAACACGGGAGAGATATTTCCTCGTCTACTACCAGGCACAATTCTAGACTCCGGGGCAACTGTGCAGGAAGCCGGTGATTAATCAATAGAAGACCACGTGGGACGGGGCTCAGCATCCCTTTCTCTGGAGGACAGACCCTTATACATCTCGAGGAGTTTAATAATGAGGTTGCCTTATTTTAGAAAACAGAAAAAGAATAGGGACCGACCCAGAGGGCAATTTTTGTAAGTGGAAGTTTAGAAGAAAGGGTTTAAAATTCCAAGAATGTAATGAATGAATATTCTATTATCATTAAGGAGGGAGACTAAAATGGCAAGGGATTTTTTTTTTTTTTTAAGCTTCTTTGGGAAGAAACAGTGTGGTGTAACTGAAAATCATGCAATTAGATGGAGCAGGCGTTTTTGGCATCTTGCTTGAAGCCTGCTGAGCTGCGAGGCGTGTGACGGAAGGTCAAGGAGAGTATGCAAGCAGATATAGATTAATAAACACACTGCAGTGTCTTACCGAGATAGTAATAGTTAGATTATAAAACACTTTTAAAAACTATTTGAGCCCATGATTAATTGGGGCTCACAAATTTCAAGCCGCGAAATGTGTTTTACTGCAATTGCTATTAAGAACTCCTATCAGCTATCTGATTCCTTGATTTCCCCAGTGAATTTTATAATCTAAATTAAACAGCGAATGGCATAAATTTCCCATTTTTGGGGTAGCTGATTAAAACCAATATCATCTCAATTTACTGTTACATAGTAGTTATATCTGACTCTGCGGAACAATTTATTACGTATCTGATTACTTCCAATATTTTTATGAATTGATCATAGGCCAATTTGAAAACTTACTGATCTAAAATAAGTTGAGTTATCACAGAATATACTGCCTGGAAGAATTATTAATAAAATAAATCAGGATGCATGGAAATTAGCATCTCTCCGTGTATAAATTATACTGTCAGGAGACTATGAATCATTTCGTCACGTAACATATTTCTACCTCCACATATAATCTGTGGCCGTGGCTTCATCACCAATTCATTAGGATGCCTGATAAAGGAAACTATTTTCTGAACAGATTTCCTTCCAGAAAAAAATTTTCAAAAAAGGGAGAACAATAAGAGATTAATATTTGGAGACAATTGTAAAATTGCCTAAAAACATCACTCTATTTTTAATGAAAACAGCGTCAGTTTCTGAATGAGCGTATCTGCTGTTTTAGGGGTGATGGGGTTTGCTAATGGAAGTTTTCTCAAGTTTTTCAAAAGAAAAATCCTTATACACAAATAGCGTAGGCAATCCAGCATGAAAGACTCGAGATGGGGGAAAAACATGACCAGGACTATTTCCCTTCTCTGTAAGCACAGCTGTCTCGTTGCACACAGAAGAGAAACAAGTGAATGGAGGGGACGCCACACACAGAGCGCTGTGGTGAGAGCACGTGGAGAGAGATCAGCCAGGCTTTTAGGTCCTGAGTGACCTTTACCCGCTGTTATCCATTCTTTTTGTTATTATTTTTAAATTTTTTTATTAAGTCATTAGTATATAGATCATAAATACATTTGTGCCATTATGGGATTCAATGTGTTGATTGTTTATAGAAATTGGAGTGCTTGCATCCTACTCAACAACACAGCCTTCACCTCTATTCCCCACTTATAGGATTAAGACACTTGTGTTCTACACCTGATTCTTTTTGATTTGTAAATTCCGTTCCCACCCTGAAGATGTCTATTTTGAGTAGGTTTGGGGGATTGATGTAGAGGATTAACTTTTGAAGTAGAATGTTGTTTTGGGTCTTGGGTTAGGCTGATTATTGTTGTTTAACATAAAGATTAACATGGTTTTTACTTTGAACTTTTATGAATAAAACTGTGATTTTGGAAGTGGAAGAACCGAACAATCTTGGAGAGGCTACTCTCACTGTCCTTCAGAATCCTGGCCTTCTGACAAATAACGTTTCTGAACCTATCCCCATCTCTGCATATTATTGGTTGATAGCAACAGATGGGCAGACCTTCTTCATCTGGTAACAACACGACACGATCTTGGCTTTCAACGTCCCTGGGTTTTCCACGTTCTAGTCATTCTGTCCCTGGGAGTCTGTGATGTAACCTTGAGGACCACAGTGGCACTTCAGAAATCCAGGTTCTGTGGCTTGCTGGTGATCTGATCCTGGTTGGTTCCTGAAGATTTCTCCTTTCCAAGTGTGATCCTTGTGTTGCATGACAGTTACCCCCGTCTCTGTGCATGTCAGTCTGTCCCACCTTCTGACTATGTCGTGCATTGCTGTGTTTACGTGATCAAGAGACCCGAGTTCACCAAGGTTGGTGACACTGGGCAGAGCGTTCGAATAACTCGGTGTTAGCTAGTGGTGGGAGCAGGCTGGAGTCAGGATGGGAGTGCTGACACCAGGAATAAGTTTAGGAGGCTGAGGAATGTGTCCCAGGTGGGCAGGAAGACAGGAACCCTCCTGAAAACGGCATGGCAACCAGGAGTCTGTCTTTAGCAGGGCAGGAAGTCTTTCAGGTTAGGAAGGCTCGCCAAGGAGGACCAATCCTTTTCCATAATAAATTAAAAATAGCACAAGACTGGACAAAGGTCAACAGAGGCCTTTGATATTTAAGGAACAGATGTTAAAAAAAAAACCATAAAGGGAATGTTCACAGAGACAGAAGAAAGCAGGTATGTTATGAAAGCTGTGGGGGCAGAAGGTTTGGATAAGAGAGAGGGAGGAATGGGCTTT